CCCACGGGCTGATAGCTACCGTGTCAGCCAATGACCCAGATTGAATCTGGGTCGATCTGACGGTCGCGATCTCATTTCGTGTTTGAATTTTCATTTGTTTTCTACAAATAGTATTTATTCTTCAAAAATAGGAGAATCCAATAAAAATAAAAAAATAATAATTCGCATAATATAAATTGACTAAAATACAGCCAAAAAGTTTTGAAGGTATTTTGGTCAATTTATATTTTACGAATTATTTTTTTAATATTTGTATTAGGTGCGACTTGATGAAAAAAATGAATGTCTAAAATTTCAAGTGATTTGGATATGTGAAAAAAAAATTAAAATTCAAATACGAAATGAAGTCGTGACCGTCAGAACGGCCCAGATTGAATTTGGGAGATTGGCGTACAATATAACAGTCTGCCCATGCCCATGCTAAGAGAATCCACTCCTATATATAAATAAAAGATTACTAATAGTACGGGGTTAGGTAAATTCACCATTAATATGGTGTATTCTAGAATAACCACACAAACACCTACATAAATACATAATTCGGACCGAATAAAACCCCCTAACCATGTTCATGTTTCTTTCATGCAAAAGATGATATGATGTTTAAAATACATTATTTATTTATGAGAAAAAAAAAAAAAAACAATTGGCATCAATTTATGAGAAGGGATATCATGCTTCTTAGGAAGCATACTGCAGAATAACCTCTGGGGTGCCTCAATCGTTGCATGAAATTTTGTTGCTTGATTGTGCATATAGTGTTCTTGTATGTTTGTTAAGTTAATCCCCACCATCCAAAAGCTGTTTAAACTTCGGAATCTCCATGTTTTTCTTTGGATTTGAATGATAATTCTCTCTCTCTCTCTCTCTGAAATTGTGTGACAAAATAAATCAAGTGGCAAAAAATCAAACTGGGGCAGCCTAGAACCCTAAGAAAGAACAAAGGTCCCTCCATGCAAAGAAAAATGTGAGTTTTATGTGCGTGTGTGCGCTATTACTCAGGATGGTGTGTGTTTATGCATGTTTGTAGAGATAGAGAGAGAGAGTACATATGTTTTATTTGCAGATTAACATTGTTAACACCAGGGATAAGCTTAAGTTTGAAGACTTTGATCCATCTCACCAGGCATCAAGTAACGAAACCTATCGACCTTTTATTAGGTAAAAGATAATGTAATAGCTAAAAGCAATTTGGCAAATAGCTTTATATTATGTGTACCTCACAGAAGGGGAGATGAAAGAGCTGTTCATGCACAAGCAAATACGAAAAGCAATAGTAAAAATTTCAAGAAATGTTGGAGTGGTCGAATGCTAAATATTAGCTAGAAAAAACTTAAGTATCGCACTCGCAGTTCGAATCTCGCCAGAAATTGCCATTCCTTCACCAGAATAATATCAAATTGATCATCTCAAAGGTGACAAGTATGACTTTAGGAAAATGGATATCTAGCTCTAGGAAATAGATTATTTTATGATTATGTTTTGGAGCATCAAATTTCATGATCAAGGTCAGAAATAGATTTTCAGACTATAATACAAGTATTGTATGCTGGAACTGCACTTTCTGACAAGGTTTTGAGGTGCAGTTTACCTAGGCTTTGAGTTAACCATAACCGTATGATGGGGTGGTTGAAAATGCACATTAGCAATTAAAATATCCCAAATTGAAATAAAAAAATTACAAATAAAATTTACGAAGAGAATTCGGAAGTTCAAAGATAAAACAATAAATTGAAAAAGTAAGACCTATAAAATCTGGTGTGATCCTCCCATCCGAGAAACGGCCTGTGGGCTCTGCAAAGAAGGAATTTTCACCATAAGGTAGGAAATTGGCTTGGTGATTCTTGCTTGTATGTATATAATTGTTTGTACCAGCATCAACAAGTGAGTCCCCAAAAATAAAAAACTTGACACTCTGCCCATTAACCACTGAGCCCTCCAAAACGATGAAAAAAAATAGAATTAACCCCAAACCCCTCATAAAATCCATCCCCATTTCAAATAAAAAGAAGAAAAGTCCCTATTTGAAGAGGAACCGATCCCCAGACAATTTATAGAGAGAGTGGTGGTCCCGCAGGCATCCGTCCGCGTGGATATAAAAATTGTGATCTTACGGTTGTAATGGTCATAGAAGAAGCGGACGGCTAAGATTGAGTTTTGTTGCAATATTGGCCCCGACTGTTATTTTTCTTAAGAGGATGGCTATACCTTGCTGGAAGATGGTGGAATAAAGCATCCATCTCTCATTTGGACGGCTGGCGAGTAGCATCACCAAGATGGACGGTTGTAAATATAATGTGGGTTTAGGCAAATTGATCATGACCATTGGTTAATGTGATTGATAAGAATCAATCTAACTTGATATGATCCTTTTAACATCGTATAATATCGTTTTAAAGGGTAGGTGAGATTCTTACTCATTAGATGTCAAATTGGATGGTTTGGGGTGAGTCATGAACTCCGATAATTTTTTTTTTGGAATTTTGTATCTATTCAATGATACACTTACAACCACCTGATTTGAAATTTAAACAACAACAATGATTTTGACCTTCATATATAAAAATAAGTGATCTCTTCGTAGACAATCTCTTTGAATAATGAGAAAGGTTTTTATAAGGTTGCGGCCTCATGCAGTTGGTTACGACGGCACCTTAAACCACACTGAAAAAGGAAGTTTCGAGGCTACAAACATAATTTCGCCCATGATTGTGGAATTCGAAGCGTCGATATATAGCAAGCATTTGGTGGATATATAGCAAGAATTAGGGTCTTAAATGATTCTTATAACATTTTATGATATTTACTATTATAATCTCAGGTTGTGAGATTCATCTTCTCTATTAGCAGAGCCTTGGTCCTCTCTCCACTTTGCCTATGTGCTCAAACTCATTTTTACGTAGATTTTGAGCTTAAAACTTCAGCCTGCTAACTCTTGGAGTGCACCTTGTTTAGGTTTTTGCACTATATTGGATTCTTTGTCTGCCTTTTTTAATTAGTCAATTTATTTAGGAAAAAAGTTTACATAAGGTTCCAAACTTAGAATGTAGAATGAAAAATGCACCTTTATTTTTTTAATATTGAAAAATCCTTTAATTGATCATCTCGACATCGAAATGTTTGAATATGAAAAAAAGAAAAGATTTTGAGTACCAATAATAGTGCATCTTGCAACACATTATCTAGACCGTCCATTTTCAACATTTTCATACGTTTATAGATCTACTTGATTTTAACCATTTTTAAAGTTTAAAATTTTATAATTAACTATGAAAGTAGATTTTGAGATAATCCTATGAATACTTTACACCAAAATTACATGTTATGATAAAATTTGGAGGTGCACCTTAATTGGATTGTTTAACCTTGCAACCTTATAGAAACCACACCCTTTATTTATTTGATATGCATCGAAAGAAACATGTATCAACCATGAGAAAGAACCCAAACGATTATGTTCTAGTGAGAGCATATTATTCACCCACTTAGTACCGCATCAAATGCAAACTTCCCAATTTAGTAACCAACTTGAAAAAAATAAAAAATTAAAAAAAAAATTCCCGCACCCTATTGCAAGGAAAAAGAAAAAACATTGTAAGACTGTCTTTCAGTTTTTGAAAGGTCATATCTAGGTGTTTATGAGCAATTTACTTTTTAAAAATACTTACCTTGCATTCTATAGTTGATCTCAAATTTTCAAATACAAAAGATCTTGCTAAGTAACTCCTTGCCTGAGGGAATAAGTATAGTGTGCACCAGTGGGAATACATTGTGCGCATTGGACAGAGAAAACAATGAAGCACTTCGGTTTTATTATTGGAATATGGAGGATTACATACATAATCAAGACACAAATTACAATACTTCAAAATGGATTACATACATAATCAAGACACAAATTACAATACTTTAAACTCAAAACATAGGTATACATAGAGACACAACACTTATTAATGGAGAAAAACATGAACAAGAAAAATCCATGAAGATAAAATAAGAAAGCCCACAAAGATTATTTAAACTTAAACACCAGGAATCAACCTCAGGCGTCAGGTTCCTCTCTCTCTTGCCATCTGACTCTTTTAAGAAGCCATCCTACTTCCTGCACATAAATTTGGAATTACATATATAATATTTTGATAATGTGGGATTGAATGCAAATGATTCCATAACAATGAAATGGCAAAAATGAAAGAAGTCAAATCATACGTTTTGTGAGAGTGAGAGAGAGAGAGGCTTTCTCTTTATCTTTGAAAGATACTAGTCTGGTCGTATATACTTTAGAGATTGTATATTATGATACCATTTATCTTTAGTACAACAAGGTCATAATTAATTCTAGTCATTAGATGTCTAATTAGATGGCATGGGATATGTCATGAAGTTCAATAATGCTTTTATTGAGCTTTGAATTTGGTCACAAGTATACTCACAACCATTTGATTTGAAATTTGATGGGCAAGAATGGTTGTGACTTCCTTGCACTAAATAAATGGTCTCTTTGTATATTTTTCTTATATTATAAGGTCATTTACTTCTTCTTTTTTGGGTGAGTCAGTGAGGAGAAAAAAGTGGTAACAGTGGGGATTTGGGCCCCAACCTTTTGGTGAGAATGGCATCGGAAACCTCACCATGAGGTTCGGTTTGGCAATTGTCAAGTTCCCAGGCATTTCTAAAAAAGTGGTAAAGTCAGTGAGGATTTGAGCCCCTACCCTTTAGTGAGAATGTAGTTAGAGACAGCTCGACAATACTATCGCCAACGTCTCAAGCCATTCTCAAGGTCATGAACTTTTGGTATAAAAGGACCAAATTTAGCTTTGTTCTATATGAAATTGGGGAGCTTGGAGTGTCATTTTTCACCCCAAAGTTCGAGAATTATTTTGTAACTTCAAGATTTTGTGTGCATTCAATGGTGTACTTCTTCCGCCCAATTTTCATTTCCAGGGGGCAGGGGGTGATTGTAAGCTATTCGTACTAACGATAAATGATCTAACGATATACTTTCCCTAATATTATTGATGAATTTAGCTGTGGAGCTACTACCCAATATTATTTTAATTGGATGTTTATGTTCTTTTAATGATTTTGTGTAATATTGCAATGGTATTTCACCCAAAACCCATGTCATTCATTTAAGAGTGAGTATAGCATACTCCCCTCGAGCACCATAAACACTTACTCGAGATATAGATAAACACTTACTCGAGATATAGAGTAACTTATGAGGGACTTTTTATTTTAATTTATTTATTCGTTTTTAGAATAGTATCTAGGTAGAGGAGGTTATATCTCCAAAATTGAGGTATGGATATGGGTCCTAGCCTGGTTTCCCCCTGAAACATGGCTATGTATTCTTTTGTTTTGTTTTTTAGTTTATTTTATGCTTCTTTAAGCCCCCTCTTAAGTCCCTATCCTAAAAACACCTTTTTTAATTTTATTTATTAGTAATATGTTTTGGATCATCAATTTAGACTGATCTAAACCCAATCTTGATTGTCGATATAATGATCCGTAATGGCTCGATGAGTGAACAATCCGCCCCACCGATTCGAATCTCGAAACGCTGATGCAAACCATAATTTCAGAGAATCTAGTGACATACCGATTTCGGATAAGGCAATACTCATTATCCCTTTTCTTCCAAGATGCACTTTTGGAACCTTTCCAGTGGCCATGTTGAAGAAATTCTTGAGAGCTTGAGGCCTAACATAACTCACATTCCCATCCCACATACTGTAGGCCGCAAGCCTGTGTATGCGTTCTGTATAATGGAAGGAGTCAAACCAGACAAATGTAGATGCATCTTGGCAAAGCTCATAAGTGGTAGCATTACTCTTTCCACCACATGTGTATTCCCCTTGATTTTGCCCGCTTCCACAACAAGCATCGTCGCCACTATCGAACCCTAAGAAGCATAGGAAAAACAAGAAACATGATAATTTACTACTCATAGGAAAAATATCAATAAAATGATCAAATTATGATGTGCAAGGTCGACCACGTGTTAGAGGTTTGGATCGGGTCTTGGTCGACCCTGACTCGATTTGGTTTTAGATATGCCTAAACCCGATTGGGATTTGTGTTGAATATGGATTTGTAAGCCATTGTAACGTTTCCGACGTCACAACTACATCTTTCGATAAATTCTAGAAGTGCACCTTACTTGTAGAGTATAAGTGAGCACCTTATACAAGCTCCACCCTATTAAAGATAGGATGCATATAATAAAAATATTTACTTTTGATAAAAAAAAGGTTAGAATCACATAAAAAAACATTTCAAACCCAAATCTGACTGAAGCGGCCCGAATTCGACTAAAGCGGTAGCATCAGGCTTTATTTTTTTTCGATCTAGGCCTACAATAAAAAAGGCTTTAGCCTCTTCAGCCCAAGCGAAGCGAATTTGATTACACCGCTTGAAAGCATAATCATTAATGTTAGAATGAGCTATGAAGTTTTTTTATTTTGAGGGTTTATCAACTATAGGAAATAGTAAACATTTTTTACCATGCATATCTGGCTTTTGCATCATAGGATTCAGAAACTCGTGATGATCAAAGAAGATGTACTGGAAGGCCGATAATGTGTTAGCTAAGCTGATTAAGAGGTCCTCGAGAGCATTATTGTGATAAACCACAAAATGAGAGGCAGCTGCCAAACACCTGCCACCGGTGTGTGATCGCATGCCTGGTGTACAGCCTAGAGGCTTCAGAGATGGAAATACAAATTTTCTTGCCCCACGTTTATAAAGTTCCTGCAAGAGTAAAATACAACAGGAGCATAAGCACCAAAATAGAGAGAGAGAGAGAGGTAACAATGAGGTCTAAGCACCAAAATAGAGTTGATGAGAGAGAAAGAGAAGAACAATGATGTCTGAGAGAGAAGAGGGAAGAAGACCAACTATCCACCTTCTGTTTAGGGCTGGCAATGTGCCCGACCAAACCCGAGACCTAACAGGTAGACTCGACCTCAGGTTTGAGTATGGGTTCAAACTTTGGACCCAAAGGTTGGCTCCAGGTCCAAAACCTTCACCCGAATACTATTTGGGTCTGTGTCCAGCTCCCGGACCTGACCCAAATAATATGGGTATATGTTATGTGGGTATTCATAGACGTTGCCAATACATTTGTTTCTTAAGCATTTCCAGTTATTATATAAAACACTAAGGAATGTGGGTATTCATAAATGTTGTAGAATACCGTATAAAACGAAGCTCAAAGCTAGATATGCATGGTAAAAAATAAATAAATACCTGATAGATCAAAGTCTTTGGTCTAGTCAAGTGACTAGACCCGATAGATCTGAGTATGGGATCAAATTTTGAATTCAAAAGGTTGGGTTCGGGTCCAAAACCTAGACCCAATTACTGTTTGGGTCCGAAGCCAGCCGGATCTTACCCATACCCGACTTTTGCTCCCCCCCTACGCCGATTCCACTATAGCAGCTCGCTTTTGTTGTCCTTTGCTATGTGTGGATGGTGGATGGTCGTAGCATAACTCTTAAAGATGCATAGAGACATAGTTTGAGTACAATGAGATTGTTTTCTTTGTGTACACAAAGGTCACTTGCACCTCAAGCTCTCAAATATGAAATTGGACATCTTTTGAATATGTTGTTTCCCAAATTCTAAGACAAATTATATGAGAGTTTGGGCATGGAAAAAGGTAAACAATCTTATTATATACTTTTCCCACTATGGCACATGGGATAGGGAAAATCCATCTAAATTTATTTATAAAATATTTCTGGCCAGTGACTGTATTGGGCCCTTTGAAACATTTTACAATCACCACCGTATTTACGTTACCATTTTTTGGATGTTAAATACCATTGGATGGGTGACCAATGGATATGCACATTTACTATATATTATTGCAGAGGCATCAAAAACGTTACAAAAAAAAAAAAAAATGAAAAAAAAGAAAAGAAAAGAGGAAGCCATTTTTGTCCCATGAATCATAGTTTTTATAACGACACAGTTTCTATCAGTCCATGTAGAAATGGGTCATCTCTTAAAAATTTATTTTTGAGATGGATTGCTTGACTTAATTTTTAAGGACATGTAATCTTTAACATGGAGATAATGAATATGAAAAATAAATAAATTTTAAAAATTAAAAATAATAATTATATTAAGAAAACATTTAGACCATAGTCTTAATTATTTTTAGATGGACCACCGCCGCTGCATGAAACAAGTTTCCTTTGTAAAAGCCTAAGTTAAGTAAAAGGATGGGTTTCTATGAGTCACCGGACTCATTTGTACATAAGCGGGCCCCCTTTAAAATTTACCTTAACACGGATTTTTTATTCAAAATTTCAGAGATTCATCATTTAGGCCAAACTGATCACATATATATATATTTTTTAAAATGTTTTTTTTCTTTTTATTTTTTTAATATTTTTGACACGGGCCATATGTGATTTGACCTCTAGCGCTTACCACAATGTCCATCTTAAATATGGATATTGAAGAGTCCACGGGCTCTTACACCAGCTCATATAACACTTTTCTTATGTAAATTAATAAAAATAAAAAAGGGAATAGAAAACATACTAGAATTTGTCTTATCAAATTGCTTGTCACAATTCTGACATATTCCTCTTTGCAATGGGATAATTGGGCTTCATAGTCCATGACAAACACCTTGTAATCATTGAGACCAGCGCTTATGTAATAAACAGCATTTGAGAGGACTTGGTTCGCTTTTGAATCCCCCAAATTTCTTCTTAACCTCCCAGTGAGATTGATGTATTGCTCAATCTGCGTATCCATATCCACAACCTGAAAATTATTGGGTAATGTTAATTTCGAACTCTTGACTTATTTGAAAAAATAAATCCAAAGAATAAAAGCTGAAAAGACCAAATGCTCCCACAGGTGGAAAATATACATTTTCTTCCTCAAGCAAGGAGCATTTCAAGGACTCCAATTTTAGGGATGTGACCTACTCAAAACAGTATCTAGCCTAAAAAAGTGAATAAAAATTGAAATATTCAATGCATTCTTTAAAATGGATATAAATGTAAAATATAAAATATTGGGGATACTTTTTAAATTTCAAAAGATATAGGATATTTACAATAGCTTCCCCTAAATTTTTTTAAATGTATAGAATATTTTATTCCATAATAAATTGTATTATAGTATATGCTTAAGGCTAGGTGTTTATGGTGGAGGACCCTTTCCTCATTTGAATTACACAAAAAAAATACCATACATTGTATTGTAATTTATGCTTTTAAGTATCAAAAGTTGTGCACTACTTCTAAAAATACTCCATAATTGTATACTAGAACACCATTTACTTTCCACAAAAAATTTATATAAGGTTGGAACCTTAAAATATAGAATTAACGATGCACATCAAAAATCCATCAGAAAAGGTTGTTTTAATGTTGAAAAATTCTACAATTGATCTTCTCGACGTCGAGATGTATGAATATAAATAAATTAAAAAATCTTAAAAATAGTGTATCTTGCAATACATTATCTACATCGTCCCTTATAAAGATTTTCATATGTGTACAGATCTACTTGATTTTAACCATTTTTGAAGTTTAAAATTTTATAATTAGATATAAAAATAGATTTTTAAAAAATCTTAATATTTTTTACACCAAAATTATATGTTATGATAAAATTTGGAGGTGCGCCCTAATTGAATTGTTTAAGGTTGCAACCATATAGAAACCACACTTTTACTTTTTGATACAAGGTAATCACAATCATCCGTAGCATGTGCAAATGGTAGCATAGCGAGTAATATTTTGCTGGCAAATTTTTGTGTCCGGAAAATAGTGAAAATAAATGGATACCAAAATCCTATTCGGAAGAATATTATGGGTAAATTAGGAAAGCCTTAAAAAGAAGGAAAATAAGGGATTGAAATCACTAAAAGGTACCTGCCCTTGGTTTGTGGTCTGAAGAGCTCCAGCTCCAGCTGAGGCAAAGTTGGCTCCAAAAGAATGATTAGCTCCTGGTTCTAAGTATGGTGGGATAAGAGGCAAGTTCGCCAGTTTGGCTGTAATTAACATCAAATCAAAATTTTAGAGAGAGAGAGAGATTCATAGTTAGTCCTGCTAATCATTCTTATCTCAAATACTTATAATGTAACTTCTTCATATGATAATGTATTTCAATCTTTTAGGGAAAGAGTTTTTCAATAAATCTGAATTGAGTACATAATAGTAAAAATTTGGCAACCTACGTGACTACTTGGCCGATTCCTACAATTTGGGATCTGGATTCAGCAATTGGCAGTAGCCAGAACTCGCCGATTCTTTATTCATAAAAAAGTTTAAAAAGCTAATACAAATATTTTTTTTTAAAGGCAAGCTTTCTATACTTCTCCTACAACATAAAACTTATATGCTTCCCCTTATCCAACCATTCATTCTGAATGAAAGGCTAAGATTGTCTCAATCACAATGTCAGGTCTTTACACTATTTTATTTTTAATTTTTTATATAAAATATTTTGATACTAAATTTTGGGTGTCCAATTATCTATTAAACTTACACTTGTAAAAAAATATAAAATAAATATTCCCAAGAAAATAAAATGACCAAAATACCTCTCAAAGTTTCAAGGGGTATTTTGGTCATTATAGTTTATTGAAAATTATTTTTAATATTTTTATAGGTGTGCTCCAATGAGAAGATGATACATACAAAATTTCATATTCATACAATTTGTATTAAAAACATTAAAAGTAAAATGCTCTGAGGCATCGGATCTAGGATCAAACGGTGAGCGGCTCACTCGATCAAAATTGGACAGCTGGATGGTAGGGGAAGCATAGATCTTCTATGTTTTAAGAGAAGTACAGAAACTTTTCATCAGGTTTGGACCAGTTATATTTACAAAAATTACATTTTGGTTTTATGTTGAAATCTTTTTGTATTTTTTATTTTTAAAATTAAATTTTTAACGGAAATCCAATATTGGGAACAAGTGTTTCTTCATATATAGTTATCTATCTATCTATCTATCTATATATATATCTATCTATCTCTCAATATGTTTATATGGGTCTACTTCTATAAGTGTATTCATATACGGGTCTCTCAGTGTGTTCATCTATGGATGTTTGCGGGAAAGAAAGAAAAAAGAAAATAAGAAATCTGAAGAAGCATAGAGCCCTAAGAAAGTAGAAAGGACCTTAAAGTTCGAACAAAAAAAATAAAATAAAATACAAAGGCTCTTCCCCACAAAGGAAAGGGAGACTTCCTGCAGGTGTGTGTGCAGCGACGCGTGTTTTTTGTGCAGATTTGTATGTGCATGTGTGTTAATGAGTGTAAAGTTTAAAAGAAAGAGAAAAACAAAACCTAGGTAGTATGGAGCTCCAACAAAGAACAGAGTGCCTTCCTTTCAGTGGAAAGGATAGGCTTTATTTGTGAGTAAATGCGATACTTGTGTGTGTATTCATCTGTATGTCTCACTCTCCATTTGTGTCGATGTTCAGGGTCTCTCTCGTGCGCATGCGTTTGCATGTTTGGTAGTTAAGAAAGCTAGTCTCTTGGAGAATCTCTCGTAAATTAGAAGCTTGAGAAAAAGAAAAAAAAAAATTAGCAAACTCGTGGCTTGAAGTTGAGAACCCCTGTTTGATAACCGTTCTATAAAAACCGGAAAAAACTCGGGCTTGAGCTTAGGGAAAGAGAGAGAGCTTAAGGAAAAGAAAGATCAAGAGAAAATAGCGATCTTGAGGTTGCAAAGAATAAAAAAAATGGATGAAGAATGCCTTCCTCGTTTTCCAAGAAGTTGGTAGCTCTTTTCCCAAGAAATGGGAATGAGTGGAGAAATGCGGGTAGATGCATGGCTCCACGTTTCTAGGCCTTTCTTTATTCCTAAAGAAAGGAAAATGTGGTAACTGAAAAAAAATATCGTTTTCTCATGTTGTCCCCAAAAATGGGGAAGAGAGTAGAAATGCGGGTAGATGTATGGCTCCACTTTTTTAAGCTTTTCTTTATTCCTAAACAAAGGAAACTGTGGTGATTGAGAAATCATGTCATTTTCTCGCGTTTTCCCAAAAAATGGGAAAGAGTGAAGAAATGCGGGTAGATATATGACTCCACTTTTCTAGGCTTTTTCTTATTCCTAAACAAAAGAAAGTGTGGTAATTGAGAAAACATGTTATTTTCTCACGTTTTCTCTGTTATCAAAAGAGTCTTATTGGGCTCCTTCTCTCTCCTATGTACATACATGCCTCTCGCTCTCTCTCGTGTACATGCATGCCTCTCTCTATATCATGTGTATGTCGACATTCATTTACAAGGCCTAACCTGGACCTAAAAAAGTGGGGCTTTGGCCACAAACTGTGGCTAGAGGGCCAAGCTAGGGCCATTGCGGTTCGACTTGATTTTTTCGTTATTATTATTATTATTATTATTATTTATTTTGGCTTGTTTCAGCCCGGCCCAGTTAAGAAGACTGGGGCTAGGTCAGGTCAGAGCGAGGCCAACGAGCCCCCTGCCACCGGGCCAAGGATGGCCTGGCCCCTTGCCACGCTTATTCATCTATATGGGTCTTTTTCTCATTTAGTGAGATGTGGGAGTGTGTGACATAATAAATGAAATTGATCTCTCTTAGCAAAATAAATAAAGGGTGCGATTTGCATAAAGCGTCAACTTTAAACAATCTAAGTAAGGTATGCCTCCAAATGTGAGAAACTAATTGCGTAATACTTGATGAGTGTGTGACAAAATAAATAAGGTCTCTCTCGAGACTTGGGTCAGGTCCAAATCAAATGCACCTAAAAACATAGACCACTGTAAAAAAAAAAAAAACTCACAAAAAGGAAGGGACTTTTGAAGAAAAAGACCGTTGTAATAAAAAAATAAAAGTTAGTACCATACGCAGAGAATTCGAAAAGTTCAAAAAAGAGAATGAAGAAAGGAAACCTATGAAATCTGGTGAAATTCTCCCATCCGAGAAACGGCCTGTGGGCTTTGCAAAGAAGGAATTTTCACCATAAGGGAGGAAATTAGCTTGGTGATTCTTGCTTGTATTTATGTAATTGTTGGTACCAGCATCAACAAGTGAGTCCCCAAAAATAAAAAAATTCACGCTCTGCCCATTAACCACTAAACCCTCCAAAACCATAAAAAAATATAGAATTAACCCACAACCCCACATAAAATCCATCCCCTTTTCAAATAAAAAGAAGAAAACCCTAGGGACCAAAGCTTAGAATCTTGGGGCTTAAGTCTCTATATGGAGGGACCCTATGATGATGCTTGTAAAGAGGAACCGATCCTCATACTATTTATAGCAAGACCTGTAGGCATTCCCTGAAATAGAAAGTGGATCTCACGGTTTGTAGTCATCATATAAGAAATGGACGGCTCAGATATAGCGGCACAAAATAGGCCTGACTGTCATTTTCTTGATGGGTATGCCATGTTGGAAGTTGGTGATGGGGGACAAGGTTTCCACCTTCTCATTTGGACAGTAGGGGAGTCTCCTAACCATGATGGACGGTGGCAACTAATTTGCTGGTTTAGGCCAATAGATCTTGGCCGTTGGAATGGGTGTTTGATATGAATCAATCTATCTTGAGAGAAGCTGATCACACTTGCCTTCCAAGGACATTGTCTTTTAGGGTAGGTGAGATTCGAATAAGGGTGGTCTTTCAATATTCACAAGTAGGTGAGTATTGTAACTCTTTCTTAATATGAAAATGATAAGTCTATCTTACTTATATAAATTTTACCCAAAAAATATATGGTACTGAAAAATACACCTATAGATGGGTTATTTCAAAATGGAGATTATATACTATACGAATATTTACTTTGGAAAAAGTTTAAATAAGTGCGAGGCTCTAAACAATCAAATTAACGTACACCTCAAAAATTCATTAAAAAATATTGTTTTTATGTTGAGAAACCCTTAATTCGATCATCTCAACATAAAGATGTATGGATATGAGAAAAAAGAAATTTCAAGTATTGAAAATAATGCATCTGGTGATATATTAGCTAGACTATCAAGTTTCAAGATTTTCAAGTGTTCATATATTTGCTCGATCTACACTATTTTTTTACTTTAAATTTTATTATAAGAGATAAAAATAAATTTTCAAGCCATCATAAATATTTTTAATAGTAAAACAACATATTTTGGTACTATTTAAAGGTGCACTCTATTTTGATTATTTAGAGCCTCAGCCTTATACAAACCACGCCCAATTACTTTTAGTATAAGAAGGTCATGTTCATCCATAATTGTCACGCTTGAAATTGTGTGCTAGGGAAGTGTAACAATGTCCCAGAAAAAAAAAAAATATTACAATTTGAGCACGGTTAGTAGTAAATTTCAGGTTGTCAAATTTTGTTCCCTCACGGATGGGTGGGGAAGAGAATAGGATTACTTGTTAAGGTCCATCCCAACTAGGCCATGCCAACCCGTATTAGGAGTGGGGGAAGGGATAAAAAAGAAGATAGATTATTTTTTTTGAATTTTTTTTCTAAAAAAGAAGATAGATCATTTAGATATCCAGTTATTTTTTTTGGGTAATTTAGTCGATAAGACATGCCCCTACCAGTTTTTTAAAATAATTTTAGGAGTTATTTTTTTGAAGGTGTTAGTGAGGTGGTGTCAGTAGAAATAAAAACCACGACGTAGTGACTAAAGTGTGGTGGTGCTACCACCACGATCCAGCCCCTTTCTCAATTATTAATTATTACTAGCTATCATATTCTCTAAAAATTTGCAATCTCTATTTAATTTTGGAAAAGTAATGCATTAAATATCCATCTTTAATCTGGAATCTTGAATATGAAAGAGTAATTTCATAGTTTGTTATACTTAAGTGGCCCTAGGCAAATGATGTAATTACTCCTTGTTGTTGGTTTGGATTCAAAGTTTTGAACATGTTTTACCTTAAAATCCCTGGTTTTTTTTGTTAGAAATAAAACGAGCATGGGTCTTCACACCATTTAGCTTGCTCGAGCCAACTGATGAAAGGACCGTCGCTTGTTTTGCGTTTCAAATATGGAACAAATATTTTTTTATTAAAATCTCCTGCTCCAAATTTGAAATCACGAACGAGTAGGGTATTTAAATAATTTGCCCACTTTTGTCATCGGCTAAACTACCAAAATACTCCTGCTTGTTTATAATTTGAAACCTAAGCATGAAAATCTAAAGCTTTTTTTAAAAGTACTAGACGAGTTACTCTATCAAAATAAACACATTAAAGTAACAACTAATCATTAAAGTGGCAACTTTGTTGATAAATTGGTTAAGCTAATCACCTTGTTGATTTTCGATGTGGTTATATCATTTTAATGGTATTTTCTCCATCTTATTGATATAGATTATTGGTTTTGAGTCACAAAGTCCATGGACCTAAAGAAAATGGTAGCACTAGTGCATATCACAAGTAGTGGGGTCCGGATCTAATTGGATCTGGATTCTGGATCCGGATTTAAATTTAGAAAATATTCATAGGATTCGGATCCAGATACTATTGGATTCAAAATACTCAGATACAGATACAGATCTAAATCTGAAAAGTATTACATGGGATGCAGATCTGGATCTGGATGTAATCGGATCCGAAAAAATTATGATATAAAATAATATATACAAAAAAATACTATATATATATATATATATAATATTTTAATAACTAGATCGGACCCATATCATATCCATGTCTGCCCAGATCCAAAATTGAACTATTCAAATCCAAATTTTGGATTTGGATATGACCCGTCGCATCTAAATATTGAATCCATACCTGGATCTGGATAAGATCCGAAATTCCGATTTCAGATCCAAACTGGGTAAAAAAATTGATTATAAAGCATCCAATATCACATCACACCATTAAAACATTGAAAGGGAGCATTGCACGATAACGACCTATAAAACTATAAAAATGGACACTCTTGGTCCTCCCTAATAAGTAGCACATGTAACAAGATGGTATGGTCAAGGCATCGATGACCTTGTTTCTAAGGGTGAAAGCAGGCCGCCCCTAGGCAGCAGGCATGGTCGGCCCAGGCCAGGCAGGCCCTATAAATACTCCAGACCTAGAGGGATACCTTCCAGGCCCATTGGGCCGGTGCTGCCCAGTTTCACCTCTACTTACTTCCATGCTGTTTCGTAAACATAATTACGGTCATGATCTTGCAAAGGACCGAAGCCATTACTTTGCGGTATTTGTTTAGTACAGTGATTTAAAACTCGGCAAGTTGAAACGGATTCACCCGGTTCGACATTCAAATCGGTCATCCCGTATCGATTCTTTTAAAAAGAGTAGACTCGACCGGTTCTAGAGGAGAATCGCCAAGTCTCTGGATTAATTTTGTTTAAAAATCGGGATAACAAAGGTCTCTTTTGTAAGGAAAGCCATATACTACATGCTACATCGCGCTGCCCACTTTTCTAAACACGATAACGAGTGAGGTACTGAGGAGGTATTTATTCACCTCAAACTTCTTTTACTTCTTCAATATGGGATTTGAACACGGTAATACAATGTTGAGACGGTTATTCAATATAGACAATTATTAAGGAAAGCGAAACACTTGGTGACGTGGTGGTGCAATTGGTTATCACTTAGGATTTCGTCTTAGACGTTCAAGTTCGAACCTGGGCACTATCGAGTGTCAAATTTTTGTTTTCAAAAAAAAAAAAACAAAGAAGAAAATAATGTTGTCAAAAAAAAGAAAAGGAACAAAAATAAGAATAAAAGATGCACTATCTAGCGTCTTATTTTTGTTTTAAAAAAAATAAAAAAGAAGAAAATAATGTTGTCAAAAAAAATAAAAAGAAAAAAAATAAAATTTAAAAGGTCATACTTTTTTTTCAAAAAAAATAAAAAGAAGAAAATAATTTTATCAAAAAAATGAAAGGAAAAAACTCAAAAATAAAAGTAAATCTTGTCAAAAAAACATAAAAGGTAAGACAACGTCTTCTTATTTTTCTTGCCCAAAAAAAATGTAATATAACAAGTATTTTTTTATCAAAAAATAAAATAAAAGGTATAAAAAAATAAGAGGTACCTTGTAGCATCATTTTTTTATTTTTCTTATCAATAAATAAATAAAAGGTAATACAACAAGTAAAGAAAAAGGTAATACAACATCTTCTTATTTTTCTTGTCAAAAATAAAAATAAAAGGTAATACAACAAATATCATATTTTTCTTGTTAAAAATAAATAAATTGTAATACAACAAGTATTTCCTGTCAAAAAAATAAAAGGTATTTTTTAATACAACAAGTATTTCTTAATACAACCTAGGAATAACTAGTCAAATTATATTTTTTATTTCTATAACATGGTGATCTGTAACATAAATTTAGGAATATTAATTTAAAGATATGGTTCATATAATGAGGCCCTTTGAAATATATATATATATATATATATATATATATATATCTTCTCTCTCTCTCT